ATTATAATAAATTATATTTTACTTATCCCAGCCTTGTAACAGCTGAGCGAACATTAATATATATGTATTTTAAAACCTATGTGATAACAATACAAAGAATTTTGGTGTACGTTGTCGAGCTTTATAAGGCCACTGTATTAATTATATACGAGCTCCAGTCATGAGAAACCAAGGTGAAGGAAAACAGTCTTATAAATATAATGATACACTTGAAGAAAATCAAAGCAAACACAAGAAATAAAGATGTCGTTCTTTACGGTGAATTAGATCACTAATTTCAACATCACGCCTCAACCCCACAAAAACCCTGTAATTTGTATCTGCAAATATATTTCTAACGACCAGGCAGAAAAATTATATAGAACAAAAGCATGTATTTATATATTTGATTAGTAAAATAAAGAGTGTTTTCTAATTTTATCAGTGGAATAATGAGTTTCAAATTTGATTAATGAAACAAAGAGTATTTCTAATTTGAAGTAATGGGTGTTTTCTAATTTTATTAGTGAAATAATGAATGTTTTATAATTGTTATAAGTGATATAATTAGTGAAAAAAAAACAGATTTTTGTAATTAGTGAAATATAGCGTGTTTTCTAATTTTATTAATGAAATAAAAAGTTTTTTCTAATTAGTCCACCTCATCTACCCTCATCTTCCAAGACAGTTTGTGTAACTGTGAAGTTAGGTTAGCAATAAATGAACCGTGTCAGGGGAACCCGACCAATGCAGCTACTTTTATATCATTATTCCTACGTCATTATATTTTTTTTTCATAAATCCGTCTAAAATACATTAAAGGTATACATCTTTTAGAATGAGAAACCATGAGAACGTCATGTCACATACAGAGAAGATCTTCAAAGACACTGTAATGACATTTGTCAACATTTTACCTGTTTACATTATTCAATGTTCAAACAATAAAAATGACTCATGAATTTAAATGTTTTTTTTTCGCTTCAAGTATTTTAGGAGTTATTCGACAACACGATCAGTTTCTAGTTTCAATTTAATTAGTCTGATCCATGTACATGTATTCAGATAATTTATTCATTTTGGCCTTACTTAAATCAAGCCTGGGCTAATCCTAATCTTAATCTATTCTGGCATTAAATTAAGGTCAAGATCAAACTGGAAATTAAGGTTAAATAAAGACAGGTTGAAACATCAACTGATTTATTCAATTACTTCCTACAATAAACTCAATTATTCGTACTAAAATCAATCAATTAAAGTCCTATTGTGTCATTGACATTCCTCAATAGAATGTTAAATTTCTCATGGCTTAATGCACGTTAATATATACTACGATTGATTATTTAATTAAAACATTTAATTAAGAAAACAAAATCAAAATACCAATGCTGGATAATCTCCTGACATGAATTAGACAATTTCATGCTACAATCTTCAACTGCTTTAGACAATCAACAGATTTAGAGATAATAATGTTAGTGATATTTGACAAGAGAGTCACGAAGGCTTAATGATTAAGGCACTGGCTCGATCAGCTAGAGGTCTGTGTTGGCTGAGAAAGTTCCTCAGGATTTTCCAGCATGGTTCCCCCCCCCCCCTCCCCCCCCCCTCCCCCCGGGTACAAGTGGTGAAGGCTGGAGGGCCCGGAAAGGACAGGTGTCTAGTCTTTTAGATGGGATGGATAATCAAGGTCTCATGTACACATTGGAGTGCATGTATAAGAACTCTAGACAGTTTGAATTCCAAATAAGAGTAGGTTGTTGTGCCACTGTCTGTGCACTGCATGGTGTATGCTTAAATCCCATATGACATAATTTATAAATATCATTAAAAAAAGCACATTTTGTTCCTGTCAAAATGACAGGTGTGCAGCAGAAGAATTGGGCCTTACAAAGCCTAAATTTGTTTCTGATAATGACTGTGGCAGTGTTATCTTATATCCTGACTTGTTAATCAATTACACTGGATTTCAGAATCACAGAATCTGATTCACGTAGATTATTGTAGGTCTACACAACTTTCGGGTTCTATGAAGATTTCTTCTGGTTATTTTAAGCGTAAAATATTTGCCAAAATATTCGTAATTCCCAGACACAACAACTAAATGATGCCAATATTTATTGAATGAATTTCAATAACTCACTAACATATCAATCTCAATCCTCAATTGTAAAAACATTATCGAATTTAAGAGATCTCCCCAATTACGGTAATTTTAAATCAGGAATCCCCTGGGCCCTAGTAAATAACAATCATTATACATGTAACTGAGAAATTGCAAGATCTGATCATATTTCAAATTAATCAATTCTCCATTATTTCTAAGTTATAGCAACTTAAACGTATAAAAAGTTACACTGGTGCCAGTTAATTTCACACTGCCATCTTTATGTGTCTTAGACAACATAGTATTAATAATTCTGCCAATTCTTCAAATGTTTTTATGTTAATTAGTGACTGAAGGATGAATGTGTGGGTGACTTTGGAGAGAGACCGAGAGATGGAGATTAACATTCACTTGACACAGACTAGGTCATTTTGGGACTAAAACATGGTACAATATTATTACAATAATTTGCTTGCCCATCTTTAATAGTGGGCTGAATCCAGAGAACATGGAGAAAAATCTTAAGGTTGATCAGGCGACCCTACTCCTTGTCAAAACCACATTCCTTGACTCAATGGCAGACTTTGTGACATAATGAGCACAGTTCAATCATTTGTGAGCATCCACCCCTCCAGAATGTACTGGGAGAAATTAACTGCAACTGATTAAAGGGGAATAACTCTATTAGAAATGTAATATTCAGCTACATGCCCATCTAGAACTGACTACATTCTAAAACTATTTCTAAATACATGTAACAGTGAACAAGACAATAATTTCCCTTTTTTCGTATTTCTACTGGAAAACAATAAATAGTTTGGGGAGGGTTTATTCTAGGCTTTCTTAAAGATACATTATGGGAGATAAGATAAAGAGATGGCAGTTCTCGCTATAATAGTTAAAAACTAGATAGTGTAAAGGTAATTTGCTGAAAATTTCAGTCAAATTGATCCATTATGAGCCGAGAAAGAAGCGGGTGAAATTTTTGCATAGTCTCGGTCATCATTACTAAAATCATTAATATAAACAGCATAGTCTCGATTATCCACTTTTTTTAATTTAATTATCAATGGTCGTTAGCGGCATATAGGAATCTAATCCAGCCAACATCGAAGGCTAGCCTTGACATCGAGAGTTTATTATGGTCTGGATAAGTTAATTAATGTCTAATTGATAATTTAGATAACATTTCAGGCCTAAAGAAAGACTTGTAATAAGCAGATTTTGCTCTTGCATAATGCATGTTTAAACTTATGAAATAAACATCGGAATTATATTATTTCTTTACATTTGTTCTAGATTGTTCTGTCCTGTAGGGTCTCAAGTATAAATATATCTCCTACTGACTTGGTCTTAAGGCATTCCCTTTGGCTCACTCGGTAGAGGTGTATAGATTCAGTGTATTAAAGATGTGCTATGTTATTGTTTGTATGTTTAGAGACACCATCTAGATTGTTCTATCCTGTAGGGTCTCAAGTATAAATATATATTTCCTCCTGACTTGACCTTGAGACATTCCCTTTGGCTCACTCAGTAAATATGCATGGTTTCTGTGTATAGCAGAAGTAAATATATGGTGTGTTCAATCTGATTAAAACACAGATCCTATTTCATTTCGTTTTACTTGTCTTTACTACACTAGAATCTGGAAGAGTTGTTATCATTGACGTGTTCTGAATGGTGTGAGGGATTAGCCAATGAAACGGTCTGTTGCGGCAAGATTTAGGCATGTTTTGCACGGAACTGTGGGTAATCCACTAGTAACATCAATGCTGATTGGTTAATCAAATATCTGTCATCAAAGGGTCAAAAGACACTCGTATGACCTCTGGCGCGACCCACTTGTATCGCTACAACCGGTCAGATCTTTATGTAGTGTAGGCCATCGAAAGTAAAAAAAAACAAAACGAAACGAAATATAGATCTGTATTTTAATCAGATTGATGGTGTGTTGTATGATTGTTTGTATATCTTGGGATGCCTAGATAGGCCTAGATATGGGATATCAATATATGTTTATCTCCTTCTCAAATCCTACCAAATTTGAAACGTTATCATTAAAATTACCACAATTATGTCTGTTCTGTTCAGTGACAGTGGGGACTATTTCATCATCTAAAATTCTAATTTACAAGCACACAACTACCATCACTGTAATCAGGAAATTAAACGCTTGAAAATTGGTCGCTACCAAAATCAATCAGTCAGCTTTAAACCGGTGCTGTAGTAACCAAGTAGAGGTACTTACAATAAGGGAGTCTGGATGAAAGTGATGACTGTAGCGAGTCACGTGACTGGTTTACACAGGTGGTTTCCTGTACCCTGGACACTATTACAAATTAGATGAGCTGATTTGGGGTGATTTTAAATGATTTAATATTGAATGAATGTGAAAGTATATCAGTGCTAAACACATAAGATTAAATGATACCCAGGTTACACAAGATTAAATGATACCCAGGTTACAGTAACCTGGTTAATGTGTGATCTATACCCAGGTTACAGTGTGTTACTGGTTAATGTGTGATCTATACGGTGACATGTGTACAATGTGTTCTGGAAACAAAAAACAGAACGTAGAGACGGACAGAACTCATTTCAATATTTATACTATTTTCAACAAGATATAGAAGTGTACTTCTAGCAACGGGAATAACTCTAACTTTTAAATTTCTAATTAGCACGGCACACTATTTGAAAACAAAAAGGGAACGGAAGGACGGACAGACAAGAGTTCATTTCAATAATAAACCTAGCGTTTGTCAACACTGGTCACATGGGACCACCTCCTCTATGTTGTCGCCTATAAATCATGCCCCCTTATCTCTAGCGATCTCTAGCTCAGCTAATGGACAGACAGATCCTATTTCAATAATTCATACAATTTTCAATAAAATATAAAATATTAACATACCGGTAGTCATGTTGACATCCAAGGAACATTCACCAATCGATTCATCACCAGAATTACTACTGCTCATCACAGAAGACTGGAGAACCTTGACTGTACGTGGAGGAAGAACATCCAGTGACCTAGGAGGTTCTACTTTATAATCTGAAGACTGGCCAGATGTGTCGAGGTTCACACCATGATCTTGACTACCATACGACTCATTCATGTATTGAGACATTTCATTGGATGAGGATGTAGTGTCAGGGGACGTTTTTACGGGACCGTATCTGTTGGAGGGAATATCACCATGACGATGATTTTCCTTCATTTTCTGATGAATATCTTTGTCGGAGAGCGTGTTACGTTCGATCGATTTCAAGATTCTGTTAGTGCTAACTGGAAATTGTTGTTTGTTATTTAAAACTTGTGTTTCGGATCCATTGTCTGTTAGGTTGTCATCCTTCTTGGCATCAAGATCCTTATTCTTCGACTTGGATTTCGATCTTCCGATTAATTTCATGAGTGAATGACGGACTTTACTTCGTGACATTCTCTTCTCCTGACCGGAATCGGTACAATAATCTGTATCAAACGACACAGATCCGCAATCACTCGTATTCGACAAACTTTGAGCGCTGCCGTTTCCGGATTTGTGTTTGTCACGGCCCTTCCGTCGATTGAGATGTGGAGAGATTCTGCGGAAAAAATTAGTGAAACTGTTCCCCCGTTTATGTGGCGTAAGATGCCCCGGACTCGGACTATCATCTCCCTTCGACCCAGTTGGTAATGTATTCAAATTGTCTTTCTGACTTTCCGGTGATTTTGTATCGATGCCGCTGTCTTCCGAGGGACCAAAATCATCTGAATATTGATCTTGGACTGCTTTACGATAACTGATTGTACGATCGTGAACATATTCTCGTGATATATTCATTCGATTCTTCGGCGAAGGATCGTCAAGTGTCTTCACTGGATACGTCCAGTTTTCCTTATCGTCACATTTCTCGACCGTGACCCGAACTGGTGATCGGACAGAATTAGATAAATTAGGACGAACGTTATTCAAGTTACTTTCCACGTCAATTTGTTCCTTTACAAGGCTACTGGGACTAGTTTTACCGCTATTCAGGGGAGACCACTCCATAATCTGCTGAGATATTTCTCTCAACTGTGACGAATAATCTTTTTCGTAATCTTCACTTTTGGATAAATTGTTCATGTAATGTGGAGTTGATGAAGAAAATGGATTTGGACTAGATTCGTAATCGGGATTCGATAACCCCGTTAAAATACTGTCAGTTTTACCCGATTGTCTAATAGTCACTTGGTTGTTGTAGGTCACGCGTTTCGGACTCTTTGACCGATTACGTCCACCCTTTTTGTGACTCTTGCTACTTTTAGTACTTAATATAGTCAGGTTGCTATGCGCGCTTAACAAGCTGGTTGCCGGACTTAACGAGCGGCACCGGTCACTACGCTTACCCCGCTCTAGTTTCAATGTCGCAGAGAAACTAGTACGATATGGTTGCGGGTATCGATACAGAATGTCTTCATCTTCTGTAGAAACAGGTCTGACAGGTTGAGGTCCAGGACTTCTACGTCTCGTGACACGATCTCGCAGTACGTGACAATCCTCGCGAGATCCACTGTCTAACACGGATGTTGGTCCTGTCAATGCCATGGTTACTATGATATATCTATATATATATATTTAATCTATATCCACTCTATCTCTTCTCTTCATTCTGAAAACATCTGAAAATAAACAAACCAACACAAAATATTAGTCATTTATACAACTACGGTAAATCTGAAACACAGATTCAACTTTAATAAGTCAGCAATACTTTGCAGAGAGAGAGAGAGAGAGAGAGAGAGAGAGAGAGAGAGGGTTTAACGTCCACTCAACACGAACTAGGTCATTTCGGAGCTAACATATGGTTCAATTTTATTCAACACTTCGCTTGCGCGTAGGGGTCTTTAGCAGTGGGAGGAAACAGGAGGGCCTAGAGAAAACCCACGAGATTGGAAAGGCGACCCTACTCCTTGTCACGTACAACCGGGGAATCGAAACCACGCCAGTTGACTCAATGAGACAATGACAGACCTTATGATAAAGCGTGCATGAGCTAACCATTCAGCCATCCAAACACAAACAATGCTTAGGCCAGTGTCACCTATGGTTTTTTTTCGGGAATCTTTTGATGGGCCTCTTTTAATCGGAATAAATCCACGGGAGATTATCTACCACTGATTTCTAGATTTTGTTTGAGTAAGATTATATTTGCTGAGGTTTTCAGTTCATTATATCTTTATAAATACCGAAGACAATTGAACCATTTTTGGAGCTGATATTACTTTTAGTTCGCTAGAGATTAACAATCCCTCAAAAATGACGATGAAATGGGGTTCAACGCCCTACTGTTCTACTGCGACTGGTCTAATGAAGACGAGTATACGCCATACAGTGTGCCAGGAAAGCAGCACGGGGATCACGTGGCTAAGTGGGTAAGACGCTAGCTCGCTAGCCTGGAGGTCGGGTGTTTGATCCCTGCATTGGCCGAGAAAGTTCATCCAGATTTTCCGGCGTGGTTCTCCCTTGTCAGTGATGCAGGACGGAGGGGCTGACAAGGAAAGCTGTCTAGTCGTTCGGATGGGACGAAAAACCGAGGTCCCGTGTACACATTGGCGTGCACGTAAAAGATCCCTTGGCAGTTGGAATTTGATATAAGAGTAGGCCGTAGTGCCGCTGCCCGGGCAAAATTTCCCTCATAGCACACTGTATGGCGTATGCCCGTCTTCATTAGCCCAGGTTAGGAGCAGAACAGTAGGACGTTAAACCCCATTTCATTTCATTTTTGGAAAGCAGCACTACGGCCTTCTTTTATATCAAATTCCAACTGTCAATGTGTACACGGGACCTCGGTTTTTCATCTCATCTGAACGACTAGACAGCGGTTCTTGTCAGATCCCTTAAATAACAATCAGGGACTTTAACTTCTACTTTACTCCTCTAGTAGATCAGGTTCGTGCCACGATTTTCTGTCATAAAGAAATGTTTATAGTAAATGTACAACATACACCATGTACAATACGAATATTATTCATCTAAATAATTTGATTTTCTACCATAAAACATGTACGATGTACGACATACATGTCGTTAAACAGGTCGACATGTGTACAATATGAATATTATTTAAATAATTTGCCCTGAAACTAAAATCAACTTATGATATGATTGATCTGTATGTTTGTATTACAGGTATACAGGTGTGGTGCAGGTATGTTTATTAATACAGGTATTCGTAGGATACATGATTTTCACCAAACAGATACATCTTTTACACATATGTAAATAAACATCACCTGATAATGTAATTGTCAGTTGGGGGGTTGGATGGCCGAATGGTTAGCGTGTGTTGCCAAACTCATGGTTTTTCTCCGGGTACCACAGTTTCCTCCCACTGCTAGAGACCGACCCCAACGTGAAACCAAATTATTCAAATAAAACTGAACCATGTGTTAGTCTCAAAATGACCTAGTTTGTGTACAGTGGCCCTTAAACTCTCTCTCTCTCTCTCTCTCTCTCTCTCTGTAATTATGGGCACAGACATGGTGTTGGGATGTTTATTATATTCAGGTACAGGTAAGTGAAAGACAAACTAATCAGAAATTTGACCTTAAGTACTGGGTACAACTTATAACATCTGTGGTTTGTATCTAAGTATCCACAGAAAGATGGAATCCATCACCGCTTTTACCCACATCAATCAAACTTTTAATTTGACCAAAATTAATTTGTATTGAGCATTACGATTATATGTTCAAAGAACAATGTATAGTCATTCGAATGAGACAAAAAAGAGGTTCCATGTACACATTGGTGTCCATGTAAAAGATCCCTGAACAATTGGAATTCAATATAAGAGTAGGCTGTAGCACCTCAAAGCCCAGACGGAGCAGGGGCCTGTTTCACACAATTTTAACTAAGATAAAATCCAAATTGTAGTAATTTGATTGGATAATATTAGATTGATTTTAGTACTTAGCCAATCAAAATTGAAGTATCTACTAAAATTGGGATTTGATCTTTAGTTAAGATTTCAAGAAACAGGGCCCTGAACAGTAGGACGTTAACCCCTATTTCATATTGATTATATATTTAGGGTATGTTATAATCAACAACCACTTTATTAAAAAGAGAGAGAGAGAGAGAGAGAGAGAGAGAGAGAGAGAGAGGGGGGGGGTTAACACTAGACACAAACTAGATCATTTCGGCTAACATATGGTTCAATTTTATTTCAATAATTCACTTGTACATATGGGTCTTTAGCAGTGAGAGGAAACTGGAGGACCCAGAGAAAACCCACGAGGTTGGACTGGAGACCCTACTCCTTGTCACGTACAACTGTAATCAATACGAAGACAATATAATATGTATTACATACAGGAAGTTGTGTCTCTCTATGTATATATATTAAGGTTGCAACGATATCAAATTCTGATATCGCCATTAATCATGATAACTGCTTTTGGAATTATCGCGATAAATAAAAGTCTACGATTATCAATTTTATCACGATAATTCTCTTTATCACTTGTTGTAGGCCTATTTGTATAATAGCATCGGTAGGTGTTTTTTGGACGTTCGACATTTTAATCATTAATTACAGTTTAAATTCTATTCTGTAGCAGCCGACGCACTGTGACCGAGTAAAAGACGAGAAATGGAAAAACCACCGACTCGATTGACCAGTCTTGAATATGGTATAACCGCTGTGTTAGTGTATGTTTTTCAACAATAAAAAATATACAAATTTATTAGTTTGTAAATATCTCATTAATTAAAGTTTAGTCGTATGGTTTTAAATATATGTTCTAATTACTTCTAAAATATTAAAAACCACCCAAAGTATGTTTTAAAAAATCATATCGATGAACCTGAGTGCGGATTCATAACTTGAAAAAAGCGGCTGGATGACTAAGTCGAGTTACTTGGTTGCTTTGTTTTGGCGGGTTAAACAACCAGACGTACAGTACTAACTTAACATTGAAATAAACATAATATTTTCAGTCTTGTTAACCGGGGATTCGCCGCACCGTTGCTACGGTACACCGATGTCGCGTGCGGCTTTGTTTACAAAATGTGTTTCGGGAACTTTCTCTCACCGATTTTTATTGTATAATTTTACAAGTAGTAATTAAACTATTATTTCGAATTCGATCCGGCCCCCGCACCGGTGAAAATGAACTTTGGATTTATTGCACCGACCTCCGCCCAAAAAAATCCTAAAATACCGGGGATTGCGATTATTCAACTTTGGCCGATACGATATCACTTGAAAAAAAATAATCGCGATAATGCGGCATCCCCGGGGTATCGCTGCAACCTTAATATATATATATATATATATTATCACGCTAATCATCATGTACATATTTTTTATATTACTTCAGTGATAGCGGATGTTAAATAAAGATATTTCACACCAACAGGAAGACCATGATATATAGACCTGTATACAGGAAGACCATGATATATAGACCTGTAGAAACTCTGACTATACAGGAAGACCATGATATATAGACCTGTAGAAACTCTGACTATAATATAACATATAATATAAACTGGAAGACAATGATATAGACAGGTAAAAACTCCTGCCATGAGGAAGATATATATAAATATTGTTTACCCCCACTACGGCACCAGATGATCAATAACTTGACACCATGCTGTTCATATACATGTTACATGTTATACCAGGAATCAAATATTCATAAAACATCAGCGTTAAACTTAAAGAGACGTTGACAGGTCTGCAAATATTTCATAAAACATCATCGTTCAACTTAAAGAGACGCTGACAGGTCTGCAAATATTCATAAAACATCATCGTTGAACTTAAAGAGACGCTGACATGTCTGCAAATTTCATAAAACATCAGCGTTGAACTTAAAGAGACGCTGACAGGTCTGCAAATAACAGTTTTAGTTATACCTAACATGTCAGCCAGTTTTAGTTACACCTAACAAAATGTCAGCCATTTTTAGCTACACCAAACAACATGTCAGCCATTTTTAGTTACACCTAACAAAATGTCAGCCAGATATGAAATGGGGTTTAAAGTCCTACTATTCTGCCTCGAACTGGGCTAATGAAGACAGGCATACGCCATGCAGAGTGCCATGAGGGAAATTTTGCCTGGTCAGTGACGTTACAGCCAACTCTTATTTCAAATTCTAACAGTCAATGATTCTGTTAAGTGCAAGCCAATGTGTACACAGAACCTCGGTTTTTCATCCCATCTGAAGGACTAGAAACCATCTCGGTCCTGCACTGTTTTTATTGATCTTTTTAACCAAGTTAAATACATGTACATTAGATGTCTAGTTTAATACTGTCTGATAGTTTGTCAACTACATCTAAAATGATTATTTCCAGGCACAATGAAATGTCATTTCAATTCAAGGGGAAAATACTTAGCAAGCTTCTGAAACCCAGTACAATAAATAAATGTCAAAAATAACATTCAAATTACAAGTCACTTTATTTCCATAACACATCACTGAAGATGGAATGGAAATCTTGAAGCCAAACTATCAAATTTAAGACTATATTTGTACACAAATATGTGCCGTGTCAAATTTCATCATTTTCTTTGTCATTTTGTACAAGAAAATCAATGCTTTGACGTAATTTCACAAGAGACGAGTTTTTGTGTCGATATATATAGAATAGTTGAATCAAA